CACTCAGTTCCCCTAGTTTATGAGGACTATACCCATGGCATAAACACCACTGAATCTTCTTTCTGTAAGGCCCTCTGGGTTGCAAGCCCCAGATGCACTCCAGACCTTGAAGACAGAAGTGTTCATTCCAAGGACACCAGCTCCGCACCTTGAATGAACGTGGAAACTGTGCTAGGCGTGCTTAGGGCCTAGCTGCTGCCTCCATTCACAAGCCGCACGGTCTCTCTCTCGTGTTCAGTTCCTGCTGCTCTGCCTGTTCTTCCCGTTGCACTTCCTCTGCGTTTGCGCAGGTTCTGCCCTCTCCGTAACTGTAAGCGACAGGCAGCCTGCATGGCTTCTTCAGCCCTGAGTGACATTTCAGCAGTAGGTCCCATAATAAGCCAGCAAACGCACTGCGTTTCTCAGTTGAGACTTCCTGAAAGGATCAACTGCCTCAGCTCGTTCGATCCAGATGCACAGCGTATCTAGGTTCATGGGTCACATCACTGGTGTTTCCCCAACCACAGCCTCTGAGGTGGGGTGATTCCTACTGTCGCTCCCCCTCTTCATGGAGGAACGACACAGGACCCTGCGCTGTTCTTTTGTCTGCTCGGCCCTCCCCGGGTTTGCTGCTGGTTCTTCCCGGGTTGGCTACTGTCCCTTCCACCTCCGTGGAAGGGCGGTTCCCCCTGCCACATTCCCCACTTCCGCGGGGGAGCGGCACACCGCCGGCCGGCTCTCTCGGGGGCTGCACAGGTGTTCCTTCAGATAGATGTTCCCCTTAGATGTTCCTCTTAGATGTTCCTGGTGCATGTTGTCTCTCTCCTCCTTTATAGTCCTCTTCCACCAATCCCAACTCTGCTTCCCACAAGCTGAGTACGCTGCTCTCCTCCAATCAGGAGCAGGTCCTACAGTTTATTGGTTGAACTGGAGGCAGCTGTGTAGAAGCTGTTTCTCCCTTCTCAGCGCCAAATTGTGGGAGAGCAGATGTATAGAATAAGTCTTAATTCCAGTAACTTAGTCTAGTCCGAGATGCTCCCCACAGATCCCCCTTTCTTTTTATTTTTGGCGTTGATACAAGCCTGTCTTCGGTGCCCCGCGGCACACACACTGCTCTGCTTGCTAGAGTTGCCCACAGGTGCTTACAAGCCCTATCAGTCAGGCAAACCGAATCCGGGTCCTCTTCGCCATGTTGTGAGGAGGTTTTTAGGCGCTGATACGTGCCTGTGTTCGGTGCCCTTCAGCGCATGCTCTGCTCTGCTAGAACTGCCTGCAGGTGCTTACAAGCCCTAGCAATCAGGCAAACTGAATCCAAGCCTTCTCATTGCCGTATTGTGGGGAGACTTACTGATGTTAATTCGTGCCTGTCTTCGGTGACCTGCGGCGCATAAGCTGCTAGCCGCCCGCAGGTGCTCACCACCTCCCTAATCAGGCAGACAGAATCCAAGCTCTCTCATTGCCGTGCGTGTTGTGGGGAGGCCTTATTTTTCTCTATTTCTCTATCTCCGGGCATTCCTATTTCTCCTATTTTACTTCTATCTACCAGCATTCCTATTTCTCTCATTTTACTTCTAAAACTTCTGTTTCTCTTATCCCTGCGGCTTCCCGGCGCCCGCCCCGAGGCTGCTTCTCGGCGCCTCGCCCCGAGGCGGGTTCCTGGCTCTGCGCCGCTTCAGCCCTGCTTCTCTCATCTGCGCGGCTTCCTGGTGCCCGCCCTGCGGCGGGTTCCCAGCTCTGCACGGCTCGGCTTCTATTCGCGCGCTCCGCGGTCTCCACGCCCTTCGCGCCCGCACCACGGCCTTCGCGCCAGCCCCGCGTTCCCTATCTATTCACGCCCCGTGCTCTCTCTGCACGCGGCGGCTTCCGCGAATCACACAGCCCAGCTCACATTTTCTGCCACCGGCATTCAGTCCAAGTTCCCCAGGCTAACCTGGCGAATTCCAACCTGGCGGCCCACGTCTCTGCCTCTGGTTCCAGATTTTCGCCTTTTGCTCCCCGGGCTGACTTGAATTCCAAGATAGCTTGTGTCTCCACCTCGGCCTGCCCCCGCGGCTTCAATTTCCCTAACATTTTTCTCTACCCGGTATGTTTCCCTAACTTTTCTTCCAACAACAATATTCCCCTCTCATTTCTCCTGGCTTATCCCCACAGTCCGTATCCGAGTAAGTTTCTTCTAGGTTTCGCTTTCACTTTCAACCTGCAGTCCGTATCTAAGTTTCTTCTTGCTTTCACTTTAAATCCTAGCTTTCAATCCTAACTTCTTTCCCACAGTCCGTATCCGAGTCTATGCCTAGGCTTTTGATAGCTTCTTCCGGCACCTTTTCCGTCCGGCTTTCCCTAGGCTCTTTGCTAGTCTCTCTCTCCGGTATTTTCCCACTTCTTCCCGTTTCTTCCCTCCTAAGTTTCCTAATCCGAGTCACGGCACCATTATGTCGCTCCCCCTCTTCATGGAGGAACGACACTAAACCCTGCCTAGGCTTCATATCCGAGTCACGGCACCATTATGTCGCTCCCCCTCTTCATGGAGGAACGACACTAAACCCTGCCTAGGCTTCATATCCGAGTCACGGCACCATTATGTCGCTCCCCCTCTTCGTGGAGGAACGACACAGGACCCTGCGCTGTTCTTTTGTCTGCTCGGCCCTCCCCGGGTTTGCTGCTGGTTCTTCCTGGGTTGGCTACTGTCCCTTCCACCTCCGTGGAAGGGCGGTTCCCCCTGCCACATTCCCCACTTCCGCGGGGGAGCGGCACACCGCCGGCCGGCTCTCTCGGGGGCTGCACAGGTGTTCCTTCAGATAGATGTTCCCCTTAGATGTTCCTCTTAGATGTTCCCGGTGCATGTTGTCTCTCTCCTCCTTTATAGTCCTCTTCCACCAATCCCAACTCTGCTTCCCACAAGCCGAGTATGCTGCTCTCCTCCAATCAGGAGCAGGTCCTACAGTTTATTGGTTGAACTGGAGGCAGCTGTGTAGAAGCTGTTTCTCCCTTCTCAGCGCCATATTGTGGGAGAGCAGATGTATAGAATAAGTCTTAATTCCAGTAACTTAGTCTAGTCCGAGTTGCTCCCAGTTGCTCCCCACACCTACCATCCTGTTTTAAATGTGATTCTAAGAGAGAGGCAGAGTTGAGATCCACTGGGGTGGTCTGAGGGGTGACTCTCCTCAAGGAAGGGCTCCATCCACAGCTCCTCAAGAGGCTACTGTGGATTCGTGGTACAAACGGATCCAAGCCAGAACGGTGTATTAGTTTCTCATTTGCTCTATCAAATTATCACAAACAGTGGCCTAGGACAGCACAAATTATTATCTCACAGTTCTGAAGAAGTCTGAAACGGGTTTCCCTGGGCAGGGCTGTGTTCATTCTGGAGGCTCGCGAGGAGAGCCATTTCCTTGCCTTCTCCAGCTTTCAGAGGCTGCCCACACGCCCTGGCTCATGGCCCCTTCCTCCAACGTCAAAGCCAGCAATGGCTGGCAGAGTCATACGCCTTTGGTTATGCTGGATAATCCAGGATCACTTCCTTCTCTTAGAGCTGGTCAGCGGATGACCAACCTCACATGAGACAGCCACAAGTTCCAAGGAAAAGGATGTGGACTTCTCTGGGGGGACTACTTTCTGCCTATCATAAGGGCCACGTGGGACAGAACAGCGGGCAGATTCATTCATTCACAAGAGTGTGTGAATTATGGAGCAGGCACCATAAACACAAGTAATCCAACACTATGATTAATATGATTATCAAAACTTGAACAATTTATGGTGGTTTTCATCACTTATACTTCATCATTCCTTCAAAAACAGATAAACGCAAACAATATCCTTCAATAACTTATAAGGAATCTTCCTGTATGAATTTATATAGTTTATCAATAACCTCTACCAAAAATCTAATTGTAATTATAGTCCAGAAGTCTATTTTAAAACATATTTTAAGTAATTTCCAAGTTACTTTTGCCTTAGCCAGTTATTAGAGATATATTAAAAATGCATTCAAAAAATAGTAAGAATATAATACAAAGCCTTTTAAAGAAATAAACATTTACTGCAACACTTCTTCACAAAAAAATGGAAGTACTTGGGTTTCTTAAAAAAAAAAAAAATCACTCACTTGTGTTTGAGGCTACCAGTATGTGGAATTTCATGGGGGGTTTTCTAGTTATTAACAGAATTTCTGAAAATTTCACTGTAAAAACCTGTCACCAAAAAATGCCACGTAAACCATCTAAACTGAAAAGGAGTGGGACGAGGTGAGAAAACAAGATCACGACATACATGTGAAAGCTAGGGAAGAATCCTGAAGCTACAAAACGCTCTGAGGCAGAAAGCATCTCCATGCACATCTGAATACTAAAAAACAGACTACTGCTAGGGATTCAAACCTTAAAGTCCAACAGGAGAATAAGAGACAGGCTTCTCTTCCTTCCACTTGTAAGCGTGGTACATCAGTGCACCCACATACGTCTGTGCTGCTACGCACCTGTGAGACTCAGCTCATCCACTGACCTCAACTTGAAGGTCAGTGCCTGTATTTTAACTTTTGGAAGGTTCAGATAAGAAACGCTTTTTGTCTTCATTCTCTGATTCATTTGGAATACAGCTCAACCGATGGTTATTTACTGAGCACCTACTATGAGCCAAGGACATTACAGATGCTAATTTTACCTATTATATTTTTAAAAATCAACTAACCTTGTTCAAGTTAACAAAAGAATCCACTAAAGGTAAGAAAAGGGGAAAGAAACACCAATCTAATTTTCACTTTAAAAACTTTTAAAGAATTACCACTATTGTAAATTCACACATTTGATCTTATTTAGTAACTTGCACTGGTAACTAGCAACACCTTCACTGGGTAAGGGTGAATGCAACAGCCTATTTCACACTGGGAAATTCACAGGAAGGGAGATTCTCTAAAGCCGCAGTCTCTTCTTTGGACAATCAAGTAACTACTGAAAATATGGAATAAATTTGCTAACGTAAATTAAACAAAATGTCATCAACAATCAAGAAAAAAGGTGACTTACTCAGACTGCTTAGCTGGCGTATGATGGCAGCGAGAGTACTGTTGGTTACACATTCAAGCTCACTGGTAATCCCTTCGGGCAGAGCTCCCCGGCACAAGTGCCGGGGTTCAATGTTCCTCTTCACTAAAGGCATGGCTCAAAACCTGGAAATTAAAATGACATTTTTCAAAATGACATATTCTTAACTTCACAAACCTAGAGTATTAATTCCTTTGAAAACTGACTCTAATTACCATCTTCCTATTTTTCCATGAGACAATCAATGAAAATGTAACAGATGTTGAATTACTTAAGTGGATTTTATAGATTTCAAAAATAAATGTATAGCATAATCCTCCAATGACTGGTATGTGTTTTCATTTTGACAAAATTATCCTTACTGTGGGTTAGCAGGTAAATCAATGCTGAAATGCCATTCTGGAATTCTTAAGTGGGATAAATAATAACTATTTTAGTCACTATAGTTGGATAAACTTATTTCCAACTATTATAATCATTTCATGGTATGCTGCCCCTCAAGAATCTGGATCTGGTGAGCATATAACAAATCTTTTTCTTCCTCCTTCCTTCATAACCTTTGGTTCATTCACTCAATAAACATGTACTGAGTGGCTACCACATACCCAGAGGACAGACAAGCTGCCTCCCAGTGGAGCACTGTTCCAGTGGAAAGGAGAGATACTGATCAGAGCACGCAGGCCAGCACACCTCCCACTGTGGCCAGAGCTACGAGGAAGGCCTTGGGGATTATGAATCCCATTGCAAGGGGTGATGACCTGTCTCAGAAGCCACAGGCAGCCTCTGTGGACACAGCTGCTGACCTGTAAGCCCAAAGAATGAACGAAGTCTAGCCCACAAAATGTCTGTGGCCGAAGGAAAGTAGAGAAGGAAGTGGAGAAGAGCAAAAGTATGTGGTAGTGTTAATGAAAAGCACTGTGAACCTCAATGATTTTATTCATTATCGCGGTCCTGTATCCATCATGATGGTGGCTGAGTGCACAGACGATATCTTCAGGGCCACACAGACCTCGCTCACGATGGGCACACTGCCTGTGGCACAGCACTTCAACTCTGCGCTTCACTCTCCTCTCCGTACAGCGGAAACATTTCTCCAGGGGCCATCATGGTGGTGTAAAAAGAAAAGCTGCTGCCTAGGACACCAACATCCCATATGGGCACAGGTTCGTGTCCCGCTGCCACACTTCCAATCCAGTTCCCTGCTAATAGCCTGGGAAAAGCAGCAGCAGATGGCTTAGGTGTTTGGGCCCCTGCCGCCCATGTGGGAGACCTGGATGAAGCTCCTGACTTCAGCCTGGCCCAGCTTTGTCCATTGTGGTCGTCTGGGGAGTAAACCAGCAGATGGAAGCACTCTGTCTCTTCCTCTGTGTGTAGCTCTCTCAAAACTAAAACAATAAATCTTAAAAAAAAAAAAAAACTTTAAAGAAAAAACGTCATAAATTCATTTACTAAAAACAAATCCTCCAGGGCTGGCGCTATGATGTAGCAGGTAAAGCTGTGCTCACAGTGCCAGCATCCCCTATGTGTGTTGATTCAAGTCCTGGCTGCTACACTTCTGATCCAGCTCCCTGCTAATGTGCCTGGGAAAGCAGTAGAAGATGGCCCAAATCCTTGGGCCCCTGCACCCATGTGGGAGACCCCAGAAGAAGCTCCTGGCTCCTGGCTTTGGAATTGGCCCAGCTCTGGCCACTGTGACCATTTGGGGAGTGAACCAGTGGATGGAAGACCTCCCCCACCCTCTACCTCTGCTTCTGCGTTTCAAATAAATAAATATGTAAAAAAAAAAAATTCTCCATTGGGAAATGGGAATGTACACAGCTCCCAGAATGAGGATTTAATGCATTATGGCACCTATAAATCTCTTAGAGTATTTGGTAACATCCAGAAAAACACGACGGATTATATTCATTTTATTGTATCTTACACATAGACTGCTCTAATTTTAATTCTTATTTTGATATGAATGACAAAACAAGGACTATTTGCTGATTGAGAATAAAGCTTAACCTCAGAAAATACATGATAATACATAAAAATTATTAAAGGAAGAGGCATACCCCCAAGGTAGGAGAGCTGAAACAGAAAAATTCCATTTCGGACTCTGAGGTAAAGTATAAAAGGATTTATTATGGGTTGTTACTTCTTTCTGGGAGAACCATTTACAATGGCAACTCATAACAGCAAGATCAACCAGGAAACTAAAAATCCTCATAAGGAAGAGAAAAAAAGCATGAAGTATGGGAAAGAAAAATACTGAAAACTCTCAGCAGAGACCCATTCCATGAGAAATAGAGGAAATGAAGCAACAACAAAGACGGGGTACATAAAACAGCAGAGCAGTAAGGTGGGAGTGGGGAGCAGGATGGCAAAAACTTGTAAAGGCAGCAGCTAAGGAGCAGTCTGCCTGCCATGTCTGCGTGTGACAGTGGCCCAAGCATTCAGTACCTTCTCAACAATTTCTCACAGCAGTCTGGGATTAGCACAATACTCAGGAGCTGAGTAGTGTCTGTGTGTGTACAACAATCTCCTCTCCCACATTCATTCTGTGTTTATTTAGAATGAAATCTCTCCCCTATTTAAAATTTTTATTTATTTATTTGAGAAGCAAATTACAGAGAGAGGGAGAGACAGAGAAAAAGGTCTTCCCTCCACTGGTTCACTCCCCAGTGGCTGCAACCATCAGAGCTGGGCTGATATGAAGCCAGGAACTTCTTGCAGGTCTCTCTTGTGGGTTCAGGGGCCCAATCACTTGGGCCATCCTCCACTGTTTTCCTAGGCCATAGCAGAGATCTGGATGGGATGTAGAGCAGCAAGGACTCAAACTGGTGCCCATATGGAATGCTGGCACTGCAGGTGGAGGCATAACCTGCCATGCCATAGTCCCGGCCCATCTCCTATTTTTTAAAGCCTCTGATGTGCCAAGAAATGTTCAACCTGTCCAACCACCACCATATTCAATTGGATATACCACTTTCAAATACAGAACCATGGCAGTTACCAGTTCCTAAAGATAGTAAGCCAGTGGCCCCAGAACTCTTCAAATGCAAACCAATGAATCCAGTCTCAGTACTGTGCTGCCCACAATGCCTTGAGCAGTCCTCAATGTAAAAAACTGTTACTCAAAATGGCCCCCCAACACATCCTATTTGGACTTCTCTCAGGGCTGCTTGCTGTTGTTGGTCCAGTATTCCAGCCTTCACTTCTCACTGTCATTACAGCTTTATTTGGAGCTTCCACACTTGTCTAAATACAAAAAACAGAACGAGGCCATGCTACCTGCCTAGAATTTCAGAAAAAGGGCTCCACAGCTCTTTCAAGTTATAATCACCTAGCAATGATTTTTACGGCTTTCCACTGTTGTGTGAAATACTCGAGCTAAAGTAGTTTTTTCCCAGAGAGTCTTTATTTTATCTGACACTGATTCAGTTTTGAATGGAACAGCAAGAAAGAGGTAAAGCATAAAATACTGGGTCAGTCATTACTCTGGAAAATGCTTTGCAATTACAAACGGGAAATGAACTAGTCCAATTAGTCACCGATGAAATACTGCAGCAAGCCCCTGTTCCTTTCCCGGAAGAACTACAACCCCTCCGATGCAAGTCAGTCTATTTGTTCAGAACAAAACAGAGGTTGCCTACGAACTGTCTAAGGATTTGTGGAGGTTACGTAAGTTATTAGCGTTAGGCCTGTCATCTGTCCAACTTCTCTGGGAAGCATCTCAATTTAGCGAGAGGCAGCCTGGTTCACATAGCCGTGAACTAGATTCCAGGCGCAGCTAAAACTGGGCCAAGGCCCTTCCCCAGGAAATTGAAAGCAGGACCGCAATCTCCAGCTTGATCCGGCCGCTCTCAGACGGTGGACACACAGAACTCTGCCACCACACGAAGCGGAGATCGGCAAAGCTAATCTGCAGCAAGAAACTAGAATGAAGTAACCGAGGGAAGCTGGCACAAAGATGAGAACTCCCTGTGGCTTCGCTGCCTCTCCCTTAGACCTCACGGCCGACGGAGAAGCTCCCCTCTCCCCGCAAGGGGAGGAGGCTCTGCCCTCCCAGCTCCCACCCTACTTCCTGTCACACAGATGGTTTCCTTCATCAAGTCCCTATGACCGTGATCCCACCCTGCACTGTCTCTCAGGCCCAGACAACATCTGAAAAAGCATGGGTGAAGAGTGATGCTGTCCTGACTGACAGGCGGGCCACGAACAGTCCCTGACGCAGGTCATGGTTCACCTGCCAAAGATTTCACTGGCTGTGACTCGGAAAATGTACTAGAGGAGAAACATGCCTCTGAGGCATAATGCAGACACTCAGAAGAATCAGATGGAAAAACCCCTGCCAAACAGCAGTGCGGGCTAGTAACTGCTAAGTCACGCTGCAGGCCTGCCTAAGCATGATGGGAGGCTGAAGGCTGCTAACACGCAGGGAACAGCGAGGTGGGGTCTTCCTGGTGGGTGCAGAGTGCTCCTCCACAGGACTCAGTGAAGAACTGAGGGACCAAGACGCAACAGAGTTAGAGCTGGGAAATCGGAATGCTCAGTCAAGGCAGGTGTGGCACACAGGGCTGGGTGCTGGGACGGAAACCTGTATGCTGAAACTGGGATGGGGACTTGCAGACAACGCCCACGATGCTGTTCAGTCCAACACCTCTGCACAATCCCCACCAAACCCTCTGGGCTGGATGAGTTGGAAGACGGTGCAGAGGCTTCTTGCCATCAAAGCAGCAAGCCGCCCCCATAGGCACTGCATGCATCTCTTTTTCCTGGATGCCAGGGTGACAGCTAGGGACCAAACCCAGCATAACCCGCTGCTGGACGAGGAGAGGAGGAGATGAGCAGCATTATCCCGACCAGGCACAGTAAGCAGAGTGGCTGGGACACCGGAGGCCTGGGTAAGACACGTGGGCTCCAGAGAGTGGCAGCTGAACCCTGTGAAGACTCAGGGTCTAACAACCACAGGAAAGTTTGGAGAAGTGGGAATAATATTCCTTCCTAAGTAAAAGACAAATTGTTGCAACTTGGAAGGCCCAGGCTTAGAAGGAAGCCCAGTGTCTGGCAGGTTGGTTGCCACGGGCAACAGGTGTAGGATTCCTGCCTGGGCCACAGAACAGGTGAACAGGCAGCTGCT